TAAATAAATTAAATATAACTACTCTACTAACTATAATATAATTAACAAGTAGAATGATTATACTAATTACTAATCTATCTAATATATTAAATAGATCAACGATAACTACTTTAGCAACTTGGTCTAATTTGTCTATGTCAACTTTATTAATCATTTTGATCATATGACTAATTAAGGTGCAGTCACGGATCACGACTTCAGTGTTCAGAGCTAAAGAACTTTAAAATATAATTATTAATGCAATAAGAAAGGAAAAAAGTCTAATTGACAAAATCACGTGCTGGACCTTAACTTTAAGTAAAAAATTAAAACAAAACTTATGTTCATTTTTTATCAGACTGGACTGATCGCACAAAAAGTAACCATAAATCGCAAACAATGTAGAAAACAAATAGAAGCTGAAGTAAAGATTGTTCGTCTTCCATTTATAAAATCGATCAAGGTGAATTACAAAAATTGATGGTTCGTTTTGATCGCATTTCAATTTTTGGTCAGTTCGGTCTGATCTAAAATGAACATGACTTTAAATACATACATAATCAATATTCGAGTAAAAGTAGATCTAGTAAACAAATTTTCACTCCTAAAGACGTTCATTTTGTTTATACATTATATATATATTTACATAAGGATGGTTCATCGATGATGTGCAAATATGTATTGGTTATCATTACGGATAAATCAGTTTATATATTTGGATTAAGCAATACTCTCACAGAGATAGTTTTCCATGATATGTCATCTGATTGATACAGAGTTAAACGAAATCGAGATAAAGCAAGAAGATTAGAAGAATTTAGAAAGGGAGGAGAAGATATTGGATCTAATACATTTAAAAACTCCTGGATGAGCTCAACGATATTTGATGTATTCTTACAAGAACTTGTAGTCTAATATCTATCTAATTATAAATGTCCAAGTCCAACATATTAAAATTAAAAACGTCACATTGCTTATTTATCAAAAATAGAAACACCATCACATTTTTTTATATCAAAATAATTTAACACCTCCTTGAAGGAAATCCACCAAACTTTAAAGCTCAATTCTATAATGTCGT